AATAAATAAATAAATAAATAAATAAATAAATAAATAAATAAATAAATAAATAAATAAATAAATAAATAAATGTCCCCGTAGAGCAGCGTTTTTTTAACCTTGGCAGCTTCAACACGTGTAGATTTCAACTCCCACAATGTCCCACACTGACTAGGGAATTCTGGGAGTTGAAGTCCACACATCGTGAGACTGCCAAGCCTGAGAAATGCTGTTTTACAGAGAAGCCCTCTGGCCCTTAGGATGTAGCTGACTTAAAACTCCCAGCACTGCTCACACTGGAGGTTGCTGGGAAATGAAGTCCAGCAATATTTGGTAAACTAGGGATTACACGCCCTTGGGAGACAATTGATTTACCTTTTGCAAGGGTGCAAGGGTGCACACAACTTATAGAAAGGGATGGTGTAATATTGACAAATTCTTCCTGTTGGGAAATGTCCAGATGAAAGCTGCAGGCCTGTCAATAACCCTGCAATGTAGTGTACTTAGTCTAATGGCTAATCCAGTTTGTTCAGGAAGGACTGTTTCTGAAAGTCCCATAAACCTCAAATGGTCATAATCATAAACTTTCTAAACCTTAAGCTGTCTTATTTCTGACAGAAGGAGACCAAACAAACAAAAACCACTATAAATGGTCTAAAACCTGATTACAGACTTGCAAAAAACAAACCAAGTACTTCAAGAAAGAGAATACAACCACCGTGCTTTTTATCTTTACTTATGCTAATCTCAGCTTAATTCTTACTGAGATATGCTTAGCCTTGTATAAGCTGCTGTTAAAATGCAATAGCAAATGCAAAAACATTTAGGTGTCAAAACTGTGGGTGCAAGATGTCTTTTTTTAAAGGTGTCCTTTACATAGGCATATATTTGATGCAGTGGTGGATTAAGGTTCACTGGTGCCCTAAGCACTGACAAATCTTGGTGCTCCCCCTCCTTTCTTTGTACATACTGTACAAATTAAGCTAAGCTTTGGCTACATAAATGTTTTTGTGGTGCCCCATTTGGGCCTGGTGTCCTAAGCACTTACTCAGTCTGCTTAATGGTTAATATGCCACTGATTTGATGCAAACCCAATAGCTTTCGTATTTATTCTTACAAGGAAGTTTTCAGCATACTGTAAGGCATTTGTTACTTATAAAACATGGTGTGATCTCTTGGGTTTCACCCTTTTTCCAGTGTATGAAAGGCTATATAAAGGCAAAGGTTATCATTTATCTTATTTGTTCATTTAATTTACACAGTTGCCAATCTCGAACACATGATTCTGAGCAGCCAGAAATCTTTTTTAAAAAAACCATTATAGTTTTTCTTAAAAATAATTGCACTGAAAAATAACATAATGTCGGAAAGAGGAATTTATAAGCAAATAAATCTTCCCATAAGCCAGGGAAAGAGCTAGGCTTATAAACCTCTCTTTGTGACATTATGCTTTGTGACATTATGTACAATTATTTTTTAAGAAGGATTGCAATGGTTATTGTTTTGTTTCTAAAGATTGTTAGTCGCCCAGAATCATGTGTTTGAGATAGGCAGCTGTATAAATTAAACAAACAAGATCAATAAAATAAATGAAATCGAAGTCTTTGACCCTATTTAGCTTTTCAGACACTGGGAAAGGGGGAAAAACCCAGGAGATGACACCATGCTTTATGAATGACAAATGCCTTAATGCTGAAAACTTCCTTGTAAGAATATGAAACCTACTGTGTGTGCCTCAAATATAAATGCCCGTGAAAAGGATTCATAAAGAGAAAGATCTACAATTTTTGACACCTAAATGATTTTGAAATACATCCAAGGCATTTGAACATATTTTGAAAGAGATCTTTGCCCATTTGTGGCTTTTCAAATGTGCAATTCAGAAAGGAAATGAAAACGTTTTGATTTCAAAACTCCAATGTTAATTTTGAAAGCTTTCTTGTCTCTTAGACTGCAAGTGCCAAAGATTCTATGAGACAATCTCTTGATTGTTTTTCAGAAGCATTGCCTATAAAGCACATTGCCTATAAAGCACAATCTTATTGTCAAATAAGATTGCCTGTAGCCTACCACATTATCATCATTGAATGTTCTTAAAAACTGCCTCTTATTAAAGAACCTTTATAAGTCATCCTTCCGATATTTTCGCATGTCAAAAAACAGCTAGAAATTATTTTTACTGAACTATGATTAACATGATGAATCCAAGATGCACAGAGAAAAAAACACAGGAAGTACAAAACATAGACACGTGTACAAAGTCACAGTTTACACACACACATTTACTATGCATAAAATGTTGCCATATAGTGGTCTATTGCGACTGAGATAAATTTGGAATCCACCCAAATTTGATAGAATTGTGGTTCCTCTCTCCAACATGTTTCATTATTCTAACTTTGTGACTTTTTTTTTAGGATAGCAATCATGCTAAAATTAAATAGACAATCGAACCCTTATTTTGAAGATGTTTTAAAAAAGCAGTTATGCAAAATACACCAGCTAGCCAAGACTGGAGAATAGAAGAAAGCAGCAAATATTCACTAGCAAAGAGTTGCAATAGGGGAATTGGGGGGAAAAAAAACACTTTAAAAACTCATGTGACAACTCTTTTCCTACACTCTTGCGGCAGGACAAAAGTCAGAGAGGTTTCAGGCTTCAAAAGCCATTAGCTTCCTCCAAGCACAACCTTGCTCTGGGCACCTGGAAGAAGTTCACCAGGTGTTTCTCAAAACTTTTAGCTTACCTGTGCCAAGTGCCAGAAGGACAATGGCAATGTAAAGGAGCGGACGGAACCTCTGCATTCCTGCCTACTCTTTCCCGTCTGCCTTTTGGTTTCTCGGCTGCTACTCTGGTACTGACAGCTGCGATGCAGGGCAGCTGCTTATGAAATGTTGATTTTCCTCCCTCCAGACACGTTGTTGATTAACCCCACCCCGAGAAACCAGCTGAGTTTTGGGAAATAACATAATCTATTAAGCAATTCTAGAGTTGGGTGGGAGAGAGGGGTGAGGCCAGAAGACCTTCCAGCTGCAGGTGGACAGGAATTCCCAAGGTTTGGGGAATAAAATTGGGAAAATCTGAATCGTGGAGGCAGGAAAAGAGGAAAGGTCATTTGGGAAATCCCCAGATTTAATATCACAAAGGAAAGTTTCACCATTTGAATTATGCCAGAGGATTACTGCAGTGTATCAGGTCCCTGATATTGCTAAGTAATGGATCTAGCTCGGTGCTCAGGTGCATGGTTCTTATCCACCAACTCCCCCACACGCCTTCTAGCCTTCCACTATTTATCAAGCCAAACTACAATACAAATAGCCAATTTTTTGGGCATGTGACAATCAAACATAATTTCTAACAACTTACAGTGCTTTATCAGCATGGACTATGAGCGCAATAGGCAGTCTAACTGATTTAGACTCGGGATAATTGATCTCAGGATTGCCTGGGAATTGCAAACAAAAGCAACGGAGGCGCACGTGGTCTGAACCACTCCTTCAAAACAATGAGAGTTTCATGGCAACATTAAGCGCGAAGAGGTTGGACAACCATTTGCCTGAAATGGTATAGGGCAGGGGTGTCAAACTCAAGGGCCATGGCCCAGATCCGGCCCATGGGGTGCTTAGATCTGGCCTGTGGGCCCATCCGGCCCATGGGGTGCTTAGATCTGGCCTGTGGCCCCACCCTGGAAACAGCGAAGGACCAGCCCGCAGTCCCTCTGCCAGGAAAAAGGGAGCTCGAAGAGGCTGTGTCCGGCCATCCTGAGATCCGTTTTTGCTGGCAGAGGGCTGCAGGAGGCTGTGGCGGCCAAAAACAGAGTCTGGGGGGGCTGACGTGGCCGAAAATAGAGCCTCAATGAGTGACATCGAGCTGGCCACTCCCACCCTGGCCATGCCTCCCCCGAGGTCCAACAAAACCCTGATGCGGCCCTCAATGAAATCAAGTTTGACAACCCTGGGATAGAGCCTCCTGCTTTAGCAGGGGGTTGGACTAGAACAGGGGTCCCCACCCTGTGGACCACAGTCCACCACTGGGCCATGGCCTATTCACAACCAGGCCACATGAGTGGTGGTCTGGTGTGCGCAGCCCCTCTCACGGCCACACAAATGAAACCATGCGCATGCCTATCCCTTTGCACAAAACCATCCCCTCTGCTCCCCCCTCTCCCCATGCTGGGCCGCTAACCTGGAAAGATTGGGGCAAAGCTGGACTAGAACAGTGGTCCCCAAACTTTTTTGTACCAGGGACCAGTTTCACGATTATTCATTCTTTGCGGCCCAGTACAAAATGATCCACGGACCGGTACCAGCATCAGCACGCACGACCAAGGCAAGGCGAGCCGAGCGACCGGCCAGCCAGCCGTCCCCCGCTTCTCCCCGCCACCTTCAACTCCTCCTTTGTACCTTCTCGCAGTCGATGGGCTTTTCAGGCTCTTTCTTAATCTCCTCCTGAGTAACGCGAGACTCCACCGCCATCGGGACGGCTCTTCGTTTGAAGTCGCCCCCCCCCTTCGACAAAACTAAGGCACGAGGATTCCTTCAGCACCCAAACGCCGCTTTCTAACCGATGACCAACAAGCTCACCCGGAAGCACTTCCTCAAGTGCCATTGAAACAAGATGGCGGCGCCCAAGCAAAGTAGGCCCTACTTTCATTCCACAGACCAGTGGTTGGGGACCCCTGGACTAGAAGACTTCTAACATCCCTTCCAACTCTGTTATTCTGTGACTCCAGGTAATAACTGCATCTCATTTTTTTTTGTAAAGTTTTTTTTTATGTTTAAAAACATACATCAATATCATTTCGTGAACAGTGTCATCATTTTGATACAAAAGCAATAATAATACAAAAAAACATTACTAAATTAGTCCGGCTTACATAGTCTATTGTTGCACTTAATCTTTCATTTTTCAGTTATTAATATTTTCTACATTCTTCTCTTAGTAATAACTTTTACTTTTGAGCAAACCTAGTAATATCCATTTTCAAATTCTGATCTTAACCTTTAATATTCACTTTATATATATATATATATATATATATTGAATAAAAGTATGTATAACAATGTCCCTCCCATTTGTACCTTTGTAATTATTAATATGGCCAAAAAAGCTGCTACGTTGATCTAATGTTGTTATATATACCTATGCTAATGACTACATCTCAAAGTGTTGCTGAACAGGTGGTTCCAAATTGCTCAGAATTCCTTCCTTTCAATCCTATTCTCTATAAAAATGTAGAAACATTTGATATTTTTTGTAATCCAGTTTGTGGCGGGGTCTATGGGTCCGGTAGGGTAGGAAAGGAGAAAGCATCAAAATCAGAAGAGCATCAATGCAAAACCCACCCCTTTGGGTTCATTCATGGATTCTGTACAATTGTTCAAAAGATGCAGAGCTTGCATTGCAATGTTCTACCTGCCGTCTGGCTGATTTTGACACAAACAGACATACACAGACATACAAATGCCCCACAGATACTGCTGTTAAAATGCAGACAATCAACAGAATTCACATGTTCTTTATGAAGTTATTTGGTGCTTATCTGTGAAAGGATGAGCAGCAGTGAGTCCACCTACCTACTTACCTTGTATGGCTACCTACCTATCTTAGTATTGAAAAATACCACAAGGAAAAACAGGTATAGTATAGGTGGTACCTGGCTTAATAATAGTAATTGTGAGAGGGATCCTGGTGGACAATCATTTAAATATGGACAATCGTTTAAATATGAGACAGCAGTGTGCTGCAGCTGCCAAAAAAAGCCAGCACATTTCTAGGCTGCATAAACAGAGGGATAGAATCAAGATCATGTGAAGTATTAATAACACCACTTTATAAGGCCTTGGGAAGGCCACACTTGGAATACGGCATCCAGTTTTGCTTGCCACGATGTAAAAAAAGATGTTGAGACTCTAGAAAGAGTGCAGAGAAGAGCAATGAAGAGTATTAGGGGACTGGAGGCTAAAACATATAAAGAACGGTTGCAGGAATTGGGTATGTCTAGTTTGATGAAAAGAAGGTGACATGATGGCAGTCTTCCAATATCTCAGGGGTTTGCCAGAAAGAAGAGGGAGTCAAGCTATTCTTCAAAGCACCTGAGGGCAGGACAAAAAGCAACGGATGGAAACTAATCAAGGAGAGAAGCAACTTAGAATTAAGGAGAAATTTCCTGACAGTGAGAACAATTAATCAGTGGAAGTGATTGCTCCAGCACTGGAAGTTTTTAAGAAGAGATTGGACAGTCATTTGTCTGAAATGGTAGGTTTCCTGCCTGAGCAAGGGGTTGAACTAGAAGACCTCCAAGGTCCCTTCTAACTCTGTTATTCTGTTCTGTATAGAGGAAAGTGAGAGTTTCTGAGATTGAAATGTTGCGTTTGATTAATCCAAGATTGATGACCCTTGCGGATTTTTCAGAATTGTGGGCAATAGCATTTTTTCCTCTTTTTTTTTTTTTTTTTTGCTTGCTGCAAATACTATTAGATACTTTTTTCCAAGTTTTCTATTTGCACATTTAAGGGCAGTAAAGCTAAATGATAGAAATGGAGCTTTGTCTTGCAAAGGCCTATTGTGTCCATTTGCACTTTATCTTTTTTCCTTGGCAAATAATTGGATAACCAAACCCTGACCTTCTTATCAAACGTTGGCTTGATGAAACTAGTTGTGGGCCAAATGGGCTGATCTATACAATACAATAACAATACAGCCCATGTAGGCGTAGGGCTGCATTGCTATTGTCTTTCTCATCTTCTCATCTTTACTACTATGTTCTCCTATTGGTAGGTTATGATGTATCAATTGTTCAATCAATCAATCAATCAATCAGAACAGAGCTGAAAGGGACTTTGGAGGTCTTCTAGTCCACCGCCCCCTGCTCAAGCAAGGGACCTTATACAATTTCAGACAAGTAGCTGTCCAATTTCTTCTTAAAAACCTCCAGTGATGAAACACCCACAACTTCTGAAGGCAAAGCTGTTCCACTGGTTAATTGTCCTCACCGCTAGAAAGTTTCTCCTTAATTCCAGGTTGCTTTTCTCCTTGATTAGTTTCCACCCATTGCTTCTTGCCTTGCCTTCTGGTGCTTTGGAAAATAAGTTGACCCCCTCTTCTTTGGGGCAGCCCTCAAATACTGAAATGCTGCTGTCATGTTCACCTCTAGCCCTTCTTTTCTCTAGACTAGCCATACACCGTTCCTGCAACCCTTCTTCATATCTTAGTGGCACTTCTCTGCATGTTTTCCAAAATCTCAATTTTTCATCACATTTTTTGTAATGTGATGACCAAAACTGGATGCAGTATTCCAGGTGTGGTCTTACTAGGGTTTTATAAAGCGGTATTAATACTTTACGTGATTTGATTCTATGCATCTGTTTCTGCAACCAAGGATTGTGTTAGCTTTGTTGGCTGCTACTGCACGCTGCTGGCTTTGTGTTATGGCTTTGTATTAGCACATTGTTGTTTGTATCTTATGATTTATGATCTATGACTTATCATTTTGTTGTTTGTATGTACACTGAGAGCTTATGCACTGGAGACAAATTCCTTGTGTGTCCAGTCATACTTAGCCAATAAAGAATATTCTTCTATAGGTAGGCCTCTAAAGTTAGGGTTCTAAAAGTCAGGATATCAGTTTCGCTTTGGTATATTTAAAGCCTTGTGTTCTGACCCAGTCAAACGTAGTTAAACACAAACTTGTTTTAAAAGCAAAACCTATTTTATTGCAACACTGGGAATTACTTTCATTTCCAGCCAGAACTAATTATAAACAGTTCCCCAAGATAAGCACACACCTTTCAGTGCTGCGGAATGCTGCCCAAAACAGAAGTCTTCAATTATGACAGAAACCCACCAAAGTACCAGAAAAAAAACAACCATACACAAAGCTTCAAGGAGGACTCAGAATCTATCGAACTACTTTGCTTCCTGCAAAGATTTCGTCATCGAGGTCTGACTTTTATCCCTTATGGGAGGGGCAATCACCTCCCAGCCTTACTCCCAAGTCACCCCTTCTGTTTCAGCTGCTCTTGCCTTCTAGCAGCTCTGCACATATGCACACTGGGAACAGGCTCCCTGGGTCCTCTGCTTCGCTGCTGCCAGAGTCCGAAGGCAGCACCCCACTCCCAGATGGTCCTGGCCCCATCCCTGCATCAGACGCAGGACCCTCGTCCAAGTCCTCTCCAGACTCCCTGACTAGTTCCCTTTCTTCCTCACTGTCCGATTCTGCTGCCGGCTGCACCGGCTGCCCACAAACCACAACACCTTGTCTGGAAAAAAAACTGTCAAAGGATAACGGAAACTGTAATTTACTCTCAATTTGGCAGCCAGATTTGCTATGGGCAGGATACTGGACACGAAGACAAAGTATATTCAGATGCTGAACAACTGCTTACATTATAAACCAAATATACCAAATAATCCAGAGCTGCCAGAACAGATTCTTCCAGCTAATCCAAGCCACAGCAAAGAAGCCAGGCTGTCATTAAAAGAGCCAGGAAAATTTATTTCACAGCATACAGCAGAGGTGGTATTCAGCAGGTGCTGACCAGTTGTGGAGAACCAGTAGCGGAAATTTTGAGTACTTCGGAAAACCCGGAAATCCCACCTCTGACTGGCCCCGCCCCCATCTATTGTCTGCCTCCCGAGTCACAGCTGATTGGCTGGGTCTTCTTTGGTTGCCCTGCAGAGGAGAACGGAGCTGGAAAGCAGGTTAGTGGGGTGTGGAGGGAATGGGGATTTTGCAGTATCCTTCCCCTGCCACACCCACAGAACCAGTAGTAAAAAATTTTTTGAATCCTACCACTAGTCAGAAGGTCACAAAAGGAATTGTGGCAGCGAGAACAACAAAAGAAATAACTAGAAGTCAGCACAGCTTTGTTAAGAACAGATCATGCCAAACCAATCTTATTTCATTCTTCAACATAGTGACTAAATTAGTAGACCAGCAAAATACTGTGGACATCATATATTTAGATTTCAGCAAGGCATTCGACAAAGTAGACCACAACCTACTTCTTCGTAAGCTAGAAAAAAGTGGAATAGATAGCACCACCACTAGATGGACTCGCAACTGGCTGGCAAACCGTACTCAATGAGTAGTCCTTAATGGGTCTAAGTCTACATGGAGGGAAGTAAGCAGTGGGGTGCCACAAGGTTCCGTCTTAGGCCCAGTACTCTTCAATATCTTCATTAATGACTTAGATGAGGGAATAGAAGGGGAATTTACCAAATTTGCAGATGATACTAAGCTGGCAGGAATAGCTAACACACAAGAAGATAGGCTCAAGATCCAGATGGATCTTGACAGACTAGAATACTGGGCCATATCTAATAAAATAAAATTCAATATAGAGAAAAGTCAAGTCCTACACTTAGGCAAGAAAAACCAAAAGTACACATTATAGACTGGGTGAAACCAGGCTCAATAGCAGTAACTGTGAGAGGGATCTTGGAGTCTTATGGACAACCAGCTAAATAGGAGCCAGCAGTGTGCAGCCGCCGCCAAAAAAGCTAATGCAATCCTAAATTGCATTAACAGAGGGATACAATCGAGATCAAGTGAGGCACTAATACCACTCTATAAAGCCTTAGTAAGACCACACCTAGAGTACTGCATCCAGTTTTGGTCACCACATTATAAAAAGATGTTGAGACTCTAGAAAAAATGCAGAGAAGAGCAACCAGGATGATTAGGGGACTGGAGACTAAAACATATGAAGAATGGTTGCAGGAACTGGGCCTGACTAGTCTAGTAAAGAGAAGGACCAGGGGAGACATGATAGCAGTCTTCCAATATTTGAGGAGCTGTCGCAGAGAGGAAGGGGGTCAAGCTATTTTCTAAAGCACTTGAAGGCCAGACAAGGAATAATGGATGGAAACTGAACAAGGAGAGATTTAACCTGGAAATAAGGAGAAACTTTTTGACAGTGAGAACAATCAACCAATGGAACAGAAGTTGCCCTTGGAAGTTGTGGGAGCGCCATCAGTTGAGACTTTCAAGAAGAGATTGGACTGCCATTTGTCAGAAATGATGTAGGGTCTCCCGCTTGGGCAGGGGGTTGGACTAGATGACCTACAAGCTCCCTTCCAACTCTGATTATCTGTTATCTGTTAAAAGGGATTCTGGCAATGAGAACAACACATTCCACGCCAGTGTAGTTTTCTGCTAACTCAGGGATATATGGAGAGAACTTCTGCTTAACAGTGGCGGGAAATGGAAAGTGGTTTTTAGAGTTTAACAGCAAACTCATAGCGAACATTTTTCTTTTAACTTCCTGAAAGTACATGTAGAAACCACTCCACTCCACTCCTGGATGGAGAAAAAAAAAGTCATGTATCTATCGGGTTATTCATTTATTTGTAGGGGAAAAAAATTAGCGACATCAACAATTACGCGGCACATTATGGTTTCCTGGATCATTTTTCTCCTTGTTTTCCTGTTGCTTTTTAAAACGACACCCAGATTTAAAATGTAATTATGAAACTAAACAAGGACATTCGCAAGTTGTGCGTATACGTGTGTCCAACAAGTTCAGATGGCAACCACAACCTCACAGTAAAAAGACCTGCCCCTCCCATAGATGTCATAGAGTCTAATCTGGATATAGAAGTAGCAAACTGTCCCTGGGACTTCAGTATTTTGAATCAAACAGGAAACAGAAGTCTTTTAATTCAAAAGTGCTTTGACTTATTTATTGCTTCCTGGGGATTTCGAATAGCCTCTTATCATGAGTGCCTGATTCGTTTGTTTACTCAAATCCTTTTCTTTTCTCACAGAGGCCTAATCGTGAACTATGAAACTACATTATGCGATGGGATGATGTGAAATATGAAAAAGAACCACTTATGGCACTACACACAAACATTCACTCTCAGTAAACAAGAATTAATATTAAGAGTCAACTGAGAATATGCTACTCCACTGACAATTTATTTAATAGTAATTCCGCTGCCATGGTCGATAAGAAGTCATAACAAACAGGGCAGAAAGTACAAGGAAGAAGCTTTTAATTACCATTGTGTTAATTAACATTACGAAGCTTAGGGGAACGGGATTAACTTTTGAATAAATATTATACAAGGATTTTAGAAGAAGGCAAGCAGAGGTGCATAATATACAGTATTATGAAAGGAACCACTGGCTTAATTCTATTTTCAGCTCATCAGCATTTTTGCAATATCTGTTTGGAGCACCTCAAGGCTCTGACACAATGAGCTTTGGACCAAATTAGGTTCTGAGCCTTCTGCTGAAAATATCAATAGTTGAATCACAGATACCATCAAGCTAATTTTTAATAATGGTCATTGAGATTGATGACTTGGTAAATATTGTATGGAGTTCTGGTTAAGAGCAAATATTAGCAGTTCATTGCATGGGAATGAATTTCAAGGAGTTGTTCAGATGTTTTCTTAACCAATCCTGCACTTGAAATAGACTGATGTAGAAGTCTCGTGGTTTGTATTCTTTGCTTGGCCGATCTCGTATTATCTCCCCATTGTCATTTTTATTCTTCTGCGCACATGGATCATACGTGCCCCAGCTGATCACACCCACCTATCGGGAAAGACAAAGGAATGGTAAATAATAAACTAGATAACCTCCATCTTCCAATAGGTACAAGCTTTTGGTTGATGTTCCCAAGTATGATGTCAAAATGTACATCATGAAGTCATTTTGCAAGAGCCGTGGTGGCGCAGTGGTTAGAATGTGGTATTGCAGGCTATCCACTGTAAGGAGTTCGATCCTGATCGGCTCAAGGTTGATTCAGCCTTTCATCCTTTCGAGGTGGGTACAATGAGGCGCCAGATTGTCGGGGGCAATATGCTAACTCTGTAAACAGTTAGAGTGGGGTGTAAAGCACTTTGAAACCATATATAAGTGCTATTGCTATTTAACCTTTCATCATACTATCACACCCAAGTATGTCCAAAGTGGAGTTCTCATTGTGATGTCACCATGAACTTTTCGCGACTTGCCCTTCTGCTTCCTCATGGGTACTTACTAATTGAACATATGTGGTAACGGAAACGGGGTTGAATTGACTGCCTGCCAGATGACCCTTGCAATAACTTTTTCATCCCATCTCACCTCTAAGACATAGCCTATGACAGGGGTCCCCAAAGTTGACAACTTTAAGACTTGTGGACTTCAACTCCCAGAATTCCTTAGCCAACTGGCTGAGGAATTCTGGGAGTTGAAGTCCACAAGTCTTCAAGTTGTCAACTTTGGAGACCCCTGGCCTATGGGCTACTTGATAGCCTCCTCCAGATACACACTTGCATTTACTCTCACAATAATCCAGTGCCGTATGGTGGATAACGTGTAGTGCTAAGCCTAGAGTGAATCACCTATACAATACTACTGGTTTATTCCTGTTTTTGCAACCATACATGTTGGCCAATCATTGTTATTCTAACTTCTGCCTTCCTGACCTACCTTAAATGGAAATATTTTAAGGCATAAAAGTGGGACATATCTGCAGGAGAATTAAAGGCAGAGATTGTGTCTCATCCATTAAAGGTAAAGGTTCCCCTCGCACATACGTGCAAGTTGTTTCCAGCTCTAGGGGGGCGGTACTCATCTCCGTTACAAAGCCGAAGAGGCAGCGCTCCGTGGTCTCTGTGGTCATGTGGCCGGCATGACTAAACGCAGGAGGCGCATGGAACGCTGTTACCTTCCCACCAAAGTGGTCCCTATTTTTCTACTTGCATTTTTTAACATGCTTTCAAGCTGCTAGGTTGGCAGACGCCGGGACAAGTAATGGGAGCTCACTCCGTTACATGGCGCTAGGGATTCGAACCGCTGAACTGCTGACCTTTCTGATCAACAAACTCAGCGTCTTAGCCACTGAGCCGCCAAGTCCCTAGCAGGAGAATTAAGGAAGGTGAAGAAAAAAAACAGGGGAACTGTTTTGGAAAAGAAGATCATTGAGCCACGGAGCCCCTCCTTTTTGCTTAGTGCAAGAATTCAAGTAGAGCAAACCCAAGAGAAGGCTGCCCTGGTCTTTGCTGGAACCGCATCCAGGAAACAGGAGTCCAGTTCTTCCATTTCAGCGTCTTCCCACTGGAGCAGGGCTTCCTGCTTATCAGGAAGGTTTTCTAACACTCACCCTGAGGAATCTTGCCTTTTCTTATGCAAAGCATCTCCACTGTTCTCAGAGCATCTAAAGCAGGGGTATCAACTGTTAGGGATAACATTGTTTACCCTAACTGGTTTGGGTAAAAAATAATAAATAAGTTATCATGGTTTGTTGGTTAAAGTGTGTGTAACTTTAACTACAAGAATGTAATTAAGGGTGTGGTTGTAAAAGCACCATAAAAGAAGCAAGTCAATTGCAGCTCTCTCTCTCTGGCTTAATGATCCCTAATTACTGGATGGATTGATGACTGCGTTTTTCCTTACTGGAACGGAGGAGAGAAAGGAGTGTTGATTTCTCAACGGAGAGAAGAGATAATACGGACTGATTTATTGTAAGTGAACTGACATTGGCTATTCAACACGGACTTTGCAAATTGAGTATCCCCGACTGGACTGACTGAAATGATACATGACTAATGGACCGTTTATTTTGACTATGCTATAATTCCTAATGGAATAAACTATATTTTTGATAGCACAAGCGTATCTGTTTTTTACTGCGTGTTAACTAAAATACAAACTTATCTCACACATTTACCTGTCTGCCTATCTGACTACGCTACACATTCTGTTTAGTTTGTTTTCCTTAACACTCGTTGGGGAATTCAGGCTTAACATCAACATCAAAGCCTGTGGGCTGGAGGGTCGCAGGAGGCTATCACAGATGGAAATGGAGCTCACGAGGGCCGTGGGGGGCCCTCCGGAGCTCTGTTTTCGCTGGCAGAGGGTTGCGGGTGGCTGTTGCAGCTGAAAACGGTGCTGAGTGAGCCCGTTTTTGCTGGCAGAGTGTTCGGGGCCAGCAGAGGCACCCCTGACAGGACGGATGTCGATCTGGCCACGCCCACCCTAGCCACGCTCACCCCAGCCTCCCGAGGTCAAACACCACCCTGAGGCGGCCCTCAGCGAAATCGAGGTTGACACTCCTGATCTGAAGTTTGAGCAGGTGTCCATCCCCCACAAATGCCACAATGAGATTATAATCACCACCACTACTCTAAAGATCGCAGGACTTTGTGTAAGTTCACATACTGAACTAAGTTCTAATTATCATGGTCAAGCCGTACCACTGTAGTTAGTTCAATAAATCACATCTTTTTAAAAAAAAAACAAAACCTGGCCGGAGCCAGATGAAAAGAGCCTTAACCAACTAACTTCAGCTAGTTTTTTTTGTTTTTTTTTAGCGTATGGCCCGTGTTAAGCAGGTATCATCACCGAGGTGGCTGGCTGCCTCTGTGAAAGGACTTTTTTTTGGGCGGTGTTATCTTTACCCGTGGGAAGCCTGAATGCCAGTAGGCAATTAGGGGAGGCTCCTTTCTTGTCCCTCCATGGTTTATTTGCTCATGGGAATCAAGCTGCTGACCAAGAGGTGGATATTCAGCAGGTTCTGACCAGTTCTGGAGAACCGGTAGAGGACATTTTGAGTAGTTTAGAGAACCTGCAAATCCCACCTCTGACTGGCCCCGCCAACCCCATCTCTTCTCTGCCTCCCGAGTCCCAGATGATTGGCTGGGTCTTCTTTAGTTGCCCTGCACAGGAGAACAGAGCTGGAAAGCAGGTTAGTGGGGCGGGGAGGGAATGGGGATTTTGCAGTATCCTTCGCCTGCCACACCCACTAAGCCATGCCCGCCAAGCCACGCCATGCCCACAGAACGGGTAGTAAAACATTTTGAATCCCACTACTGTGCTGACCTCAGCGGTGCGCGGGCACAGTCTTAGCAACGTGAGCCACCACGGCCCCTACTTCAGCTAGTGTACATGCCACATTCAAATCCAGTACATAATTCTACTACCTGAAAATGTCTTTCTCTCCTTTCCACGAAGAGCGATCCCCCGGATTCACCTGAAAAAGGCGGGAGAAGGGAAATTAAACAAGAGGACAAATTTCACCACTTCCTGCCACCTCCAGGAGGAAAAAGTTCAAACATTCAGGCTGGGCAAAACTTAACCGCCGATCAGATGAACAATAGAAGGATAAGGTCTTGTTCTTTCTCCTGATCAGAGATCTATCTTTACACCTGGGGAGACCTAAGACGGAGGACTTCTAAACCTACGGACCTAATGCTTTTGTTTAAAGACAATTGTTTATATATCACTAGCCTTTGATAGGTTTATTTTTAAGAGACAACAGATTGTCTTATGCAGATCATACATCTTAGAATCTTGTTGTTGTTAGTTGCAAAGTTGTGTCCGACCCAACGTGACCCCATGGACAACATTCCTTCAGGCCTTCCTGTCCTCTACCATCCCTCAGGGTTCATTTAAGCTCACTGCTTCAGGGACTCCATCCAGCCACCTCATTCTCTGCCATCTCCTTCTTCTTCTTTGGCCCTCAATCGTTCCCAGCATTAGGCTCTTCTCCAGAGAGTCCTTCCTTCTCATGAGGTGGCCAAAGTCTTTTGAGTTTCATCTTCAGGATCTGGCTTTCTAAACAGCAGTCAGGGTTGATCTCCTCTAGGACTGACCGGTTGGATCGCCTTGCTGGAAAAAACTCACAGGAATCTTCTCCAGCATTACTCCTACTATTTCATTTGAAATGCCAAGTCATATCCTACGGTTGATAAAGCCAAACAGAAAACTATTCTGGTCATCAAGATGCAAACTATGTCAGGGACTAGCCAGCTGTTCCATGGAGGGAATGCCTCCTCCTCCTCCTTCTCATTAATCAATGCACTGTAGGATAAAGGACTGACCACAGAACATAGCAACTAGACAATAAATGCAAGCCAGTTGCCAAGCACCCTAAATGCATTTATGTGACTGTGGTGGGAGTGGGGATGAGATATGACAACCATAACTTTGAGGATTGGTACTGGTCCTAAGTGGCTTTTGTTGACTGTAATGTTGGTCGTTTAGCGACTGGTTGTAAGTCTAGAACTCCCCGTATTTCTAAAGGATTGGGGAGTGGGAACGGTGCAAAATGCTCCTTGTCTAATGACTCCAACTTAGGTGACATAGCTTGGCCAGAATTCAACCCTCCCTCTTTGACGTACCACACTTCTACATGCATTGGGGATATAGTGTCACACCTCTTTTGCAGGTAAAATTCACCTTTGCAAGTGTAGGCTTCCAGCGATTTATCTTCTCCACTGCACAGGAACCTGTCAGTCACCACATCGTCGACATTGGACACATTGGCATATATCATTCCCTCCTGAATAGCTCCAGAAACGCACGTGGGACGCTGCAAGAAGCCACAGTTTAACAGATCTGTTACGGGAGTAGCTAATTGGGCCATTGGTTCAAGGGCTCTCGTGTGTGTGTGTGTGTGTGTGTGTGTGTGTGCGTGTGCGTGTGTGTGTGTTCGTTCAAATTGGATTCTATGGAAATTCTCAGTCATCCAGGTCATGGTTGTCCCAAAGATGCTTTTTCAAAAGGCAACTGGACTTCGCTTTTTCTTGAAGGCGTTTCGCTTCTCATCCAAGGAGCTTCTTCACTTCTGACTGAATGGTGGAGGGTGGAAGGATTCATAGCACAGTCCTCAACTATCTCCAGTGTACAACACACTCCCTTGCAGCAGTTCCAAGAAGGTTCCACACCAATTTGCACTATTCAGGTGACCCTGAGGGCACAGATAAACCTCAGAGAGAGTGCTAAGGACCGGATGACTGCAAGGAATGTAAGTCCTTCCATCCTCCACAATTCTGTCACAACTGAAGAAGGTTCTTGGATGAGAAGCGAAACGTCTTCAAAGAAAAACGAAGTCCAGTTGCCTTTTGAAAAAAAAAAACACCTTTGGGACTTCAAATTGGGTTTTGAATGCTGGTGACTGCCTCTACTAGTCCCTAAAGCAGTGTTTCTCAACTCTGGCAACTTTAAGACCTGTAGACTTCAAATCCCAGAATTCCCCAGCCAATATCACCACTGCCCTACAGTTATCTTGGAAAAACTGCCCTATAGTTATCTTGGAAAGATTTTTCAAAAGTGGCTTGGCATTGCCTCATTCCTAGGGCTGAATGGAAGACAGTGGCTCAAGGTCACCCAGCTGGTTTTGTGCCTAAGGCAGGACAAAAACACCCCGTGATCTCCATCTGTTCTTGCGACAATAGAAAACTGTACTCAGTTTTCAGCTGCCTCCAATGTTGATTTCTCTCCTGCCTCCATTGTGTCTGTTCAGAGCCACCACTAAAGGCTTCTGGCTTTGCAACCTTCCTGAACATTTGTAAACATCGCCACCCCGCAGTTAGGATAATTTTGGAGAGATATCTGGCTAAATGCAATAAAGCCAGGCCTTTGGGTCATCATGGCTGGATGTCATCTGGCTTTCTTGCTTTATCACAGGGGATTCCAAACGTGGCAACTTTAAGGGTTGTGGACTTCAACTCCCAGAATTCCTCAGCCAGGAATTCTGGGAGATGAAGCCCACTAGCCTTAAATTTGCCACCTTTGGAGGCCGCTGTTTATCATGCCACTGTTTATCATTATTCCCCATTCAGCTGGTGCATCCTCTTGTTCATCGCACAGCTTCATTGCTCAGAACAAGCTCCGCAACCAGATCTTTGGTTTAGGGGCTCACCCTACATGTGGGGAAGTGGGAGAAGCTCCCTTTCTCACGGAGGGGCAGAATAAACCCTCTGAACAGCTGGTGTGGAAAAAAGAGGGGAACACTCCCACTTCAGCCCGCCTGGGTTGGTTTCAAATCTATGCCCAAATTACCCCAAAGGTGCTTTTTTCCAAAAGGCGACTGGACTTTCTTGCTTTTCTATTTCCTTTGAAAATGTTTCGCTTCTCCTCCTCAGCTAGAGTTGAATTAGAGATGAGAAGTTAGAACTGAAGAAGCTACTCGGGTGAGAAGCAAAATGTTTTCAAAGGAAAAAAAAACCCAAGGAAAAAGCACTTTTGGGACAACCATGACCTGGATGATTAAGATCTCCATAGTCATTGTGCCCAAAATAAAACATAATACAGTAAGATTCAGCTAAGTGGGTTTTTTTTCTTCCAGTGACCTGCTATAGAAGCCAAATGTTGGATTCTGAAGAAGCAGGAGAGAAAGATTATTGATGCTTTGAACTTGGTGATGGAAATACTGACTGGAAGTTTCAAAAAGTTGGGTTGGTGACAGACCATCCATCCATCCATCAGCCTCAGAGTCTTTTCCCACTGCAAGTTCCTCACCAATGACATTTACTCATTGCCTAGTTCTCCATCTCTGAGTCAGAGAAAACGATCAACATAAATCTATCATTCCTGTGGCCTGTTGTTTTCCTGTCTTTTCCCCAGTCCTACTTTTCTAAACTAAGGTAAAGCAACACAGCCGAATGGATTTTATTTAGCTTTGGGCTGTCTTTTCAGCACTATTAGCTTGAAGAGGGAATTCATTACTTTAAGGACGGTTTAAGCCTACCACACAAATAGGCCTGAGATGAAATGAACGCAGTGTCATGGGGATAGAAAAAAAGAGATTTCCCAAACATTGTTTATGCAAATGGCGCTCAGTCACTCTAACTCAGTCTTTCTCAACCTCGGCCATTTTAAGACAAGTGAACTTCACCTCCCAGAATTCCCCAGGTAGCATGCTGGCTAGGGAGTTCTTGGAGTTGAAGTCCACCCGTCTTAAAGAGGCCAAGATTGAGAAACACTGCTATAACTAATATATGTATTTATATTCTTCTCCGTTCCTATCAATTGTATTGCTGTTGTTAGTTGCGAAATCGTGTCTGACCCATCACGACCCCATGGACAACATTCCTTCAGGCCTTCCTGTCCTCTCCCATCCTCCAGAGTCCATTTAAGCTCACACCAACTGCTTCAGGGACTCCATCCAGCCACCTCATTCTCTGTCGTCCCCTTCTTCTATTGCCCTCAATCTTTCCCAGCATGAGGCTCTTCTCCAGGGAGTCCTTCCTTCTCAATAGGTGGCCAAAGTCTTTGAGTTTCATCTTCAGGATCTGGCTTTCTAAAGAGCAGTCAGGGTTGATCTCCTCTAGGACTGACCGGTTGGATGGCTTTGCAGTCCAAGGGACTCACAGGAGTTTTCTCCAGCACCAGAGTTCAAAGGCCTAAATTCTTTGTATACATTATTCATATAGTGCCAATTTTGTTAACATTTTTTTTTTAGCCAGAGCCACGGCTCTTGGTTTTATAATGAGCTTTGGTGGGATACAGAACAAAAGGTGAACTTGGACAGAGCAAAAAACAAAACAAAACACCCTTTCTGCTTTCTCTCCTGTGAGTTTGCTCTCTGAATAAATTGGGAGTGTGGTTGTATATGTGTAGCATTTGCATAGAGCAATTGGTTGGTTTCATCTGATGAAAAAGCTGGTGCATTCTAATGATAAAGCCACAACATGTGAGAAAAAAAGCCTCGCCCCCCCACCTCATTTTGGGAGCATCAAAAGTTTCTACTTTTCCCATATGGTGCAAAATCTGAAATACAACGAAGTATAGTACCTTCTGCATGAGTTTTTATTTTTTCCAGGAGTGTAACAACAAAAATAAACTTGATTGTGAAAAATTCAATTTTTGTAACAGGCTTGTCAACATCTGGAATACTTGACCCGATTCCGTTGTTTCAGCTACTAACTTTCACAGTTTTAATTCCAATTTGACTTCTGTGGAACTGGTACCCTATTTAAGTTTCCCAAGGAGGCGTGCGTAAGTGCACTAACGTGCTTACGGTCCCTATCACATTTTAGTTTTTTCATTTTGTTCGTTCGGATTTGTAATTTTTTGTTTCACCAATAATTAATTAATTTAAAATAAGCTTTAAAGCTGCATTTTTGTATTTTCAAGGGAATGGCGAATTAACATTCTCTGATTCGTTTTCATTAAGAGACTTTTCCACCATTATTTCCTCTTCCCTATGAGGCTCCTATTACCCAGAATCCCCTAGGAGGGAAACCAAGCACTCACACTTGTTTTGGTCTTGATCTGCACGTTCATTCTCTTGTGCTCCAAGGAGATGAATTCGGCAGGCACCTTCTCAAAACTCAGCAGCTCCAGTTCTGTGAAGCAGAAAGGGACATACAATTATGGCTTCAGGGGTGTCCAATCTTGGCAATTTCAAGAACTTTAGACTTCAATTCCCAGAATTCCCCCAACCAGAATGGCCTTTGGCTGGGAATTCTGGGAACTGAAGTCCACAGGTCTTAAAAGTTGCTAAGGTTGGACACCATGGTTTAAATAGATGAATATTTAGGCTCAAGCATCTAATAGGTTACAGCAAGGAAAACTCATCCTCAAACAAAAATAACCACACACTTATGGTGTTTCTGAACAGAGAAAGCAAGAAACATGGCAGATGAAAGGAAGTATGGGGGTTGTTTTCATTTTTACCCTCAGAAAATGGAATGGTGAAAGGCAGCTACCCAGAGTGGAGCAATTTCCTTTTCTGAAGAAACAGCTTATTTGGGGTTGTGGGGGGGGGGGAAACCCCACTCTGATACAAGATCTGTTTTCTATTAAAAAAAGAAACCCAATTGTTCTAATGAAACTGGGTTGGGTTGTTTGTAAGCATGCCAAGAAACCTGAACTCAGCATGGGAAATCCTTTACAATATTTGTTCCAAATTATTTCTTCATCTTTCCTCTGAAATAGCAAAGGTTTTAACCTCCCAAGTTCCTCAAAATCTCTCATGTTACAAGATAAGGATGTGCCTACCAATCAGTCTAAATTGGTCAGTCGGTCAGTCAATCAATGCCATGCTGTCTAATAGGTATGTTCTCTTTTTTAAAATTCACTTAAACATTTTTGCATCTTTGGCGAATATCCTTTAATGCAGATTGAACACCGGATGCTAGCAGACTGTTCACTGCTATTTTGAGATTTTTTTTTTAATTTATTTTAATTTATTACATTTTTATGCTGCCCATCTTCCCACATGGTGACTCTGGGGGACTTACAAGTTATAAAGCAAGTAAAAATAGTTAAAAGATTAAAACAATACAGAATTTAAATATTATTAAGAACTGTACTAAAAATGGGGGGCAAGTGCATTTGAATATTTCATTTCAATTTCCAAATGAAAACAAAAAAACAAAAAACAAAAACAAAGCAAAATTGGGCAATTTTCAGGTTTATATGGGACAATCGGAGCCAAAGAACACACACATTCACGAGAACAATGCAGGGAAATAATGAACTGAGGGGAAAAATGAGAATTGCAAAACATGGGTGTGTTTCACAAAATTGCAACCAATAATTGCCTCTTTGGGGAACTATTCGCTGAAACACATGGGAAATGAGTGCACATATTTAAAAAATTAAATTAAGTGTACCAAACTAAATTTGACAGATTGAGAAAGTAAGAAGAACTGAAAGTAATGGATTTCCCAAAAACGGAAGGAAGGGAGGTAACTGCTTTGTAAAAAGGAGGAACTGATATTGACAGTACAGCCCTAGAGGGTCATATTATACAGGACATCTCTGGGGAGAATGTCAGAAGGGCAAGATAATGTGTCTTCAGAACGCAATAAAAGCCCTGGCTCTTTTAATCTAAGTTACGTATGATAAAAAAAAACATTAGGCGGGGCTTTTTCTGCATAGTTGAAGCCACCATCTTGATTCACCCACCAAGAATGTCCTCACTGCAGATACTGAGAAATATCTCCATCAGGGAAGAGAAAACTTTCTGTAATGGTATGCACAGAGGTGGGTATTCAGCAGGTTCTGACCAGTTCTGGAGAACCAGTAGTGGAAATTTTGAGTAGTTTGGAGAGGCGGCAAATCCCACCTCTGACTGGCCCCGCCCCCATCTATTCTCTGCCTCCCGAGTCCCAGATGATTGGCTGGGTCTTCTTTGGTTGCCCTGCACAAGAGAACGGAGCTGGAAAGCAGGTTAGTGGGGTGGGGAGGGAATGGGGATTTTACAGTATATCCTTCCCCTGCCATCTCACCAAGCCATGCCACACCCACAAAGCCACACCCAGAGAACTTGTAGTAAAAAGTTTTGAATCCCACCATTGGGTATGCGAGAAAGACCTTGAGGGATGGGGTGAAGAAATGCTGCCTAGACAACATAAACCAGAGCTCCATAACAGGGAGGCCTTTCTCTCAGTTACTCATGCCTTGCTCATCAGAGACAGAAGGATAGAATCAAGATCACCTGAAGGGCTAGTACCACTTTATAAGGCCTTGGGAAGGCCACACTTGGAATACTGCACCCAGTTTCGGTCGCCACGATATAAAAAAGATGTTGAGACTCTAGAAAGAGTGCAGAGAAGAGCAACCAAGAGGATTAGGGGACTGGAGGCTAAAACATATGAAGAATGGTTGCAGCAACTGGATATGTCTAGTTTAATGAAAAGAAGGACTAGGGCAGACATGATAGCAGTCTTCCAATATCTCAGGGCCTGCCACAAAGAAGAGGGAGTCAAGCTATTCTTCAAAGCACCTGAGGGCAGGACAAGAAGCAATGGGTGGAAACTAATCAAGGAGAGAAGCAACTTAGAACTAAGGAGGAATTTCCTGACAGAACAATTAATCAGCTGAAAAATTTGCCTCCAGAAGTTGTGAATGTTCAAACACTGGTAATATTTAAGAGACTGGACAGCCCTTTGACTGAAATGGTATAGAGTTTCCTGCCAGAAAAGGGAGTTGGACTACGACCTCCAAGGTCTCTTTCAACTCTGTTATTCTGTTATCTCCTGTAAGACTACTACAGTGCACTCTACATGGGGACACCCTTGAAGAGTATCGGGGAGCTGCAGCAGGTGCAGAATGTGGCCATGTCAGTAGCGTGGGGCACCCCAAGGATTATGCCTGTAATATCTTTGCTGCATTGGATGCCACTTTGCTTCTGGATCCAATTCAAGGACTTGGTTACCATCTTCGTGGCATGGGGCCAGGTTATCTAAGCAGCCAACTTGTCCCAATTGCACTAACCCAGGGGTAGGGAAATTTGGCCCTTAAGTGTCCATAAGTGATAAAAGAGCCAAGTTTCCCTACTCCTGCACTAACCCATCCTACCCAGTCAGGCAGGCGGTCCTTGATTTATAACTATTCATTTAGTGACTGTTCAAAGTTACAGCAGCACTGAAAAAAAAAAAGACGACAGTTTTTCACGCTATTTGTCAACGTTCCAGCAAACCTCCATTCCAATCAATAACTCCGAGACAGACATAACTCAAAGATACCTTTATTTGGATAGTAAGCTGGCACATCTGTGGAATCCTGTACCTGAAAGTTTTGGGGCTTCCTTGCAATATTCAAAACTACAAATCCATCCCCCCCTTGGCCGTCATCACATCACATGGCCCAATCACGATCTGTCCTAAAGTAAGATGCTTATTTCACTCTGCGCCATACTCAATGACCTTGAATTAACAGAAGAATTTTATTTTGTCTACTTAGAGCTACTCAATTGAATTCCCCCCCCCCATCCCACTTTCTCAGGCTATGTGGCAGCGTGGGAGCATCGAATCTCAATATGGCTTCCAAAGCTGACACAATATTATGGCAGCATCTCCACGGTCACATGATCAAAATTCAGTTAGCACTTAGCCATATATGCCACTTTACAGCCCTTTCTAAGCAGTTTTACAGAGTCAGCCTATTGCCCCCCCCCAACAATCTGGGTCCTCATTTCACCCATCTCGGAAGGACAGAAGTCTGAGTCCACCTTGAGCCTGGTAAGATTCGAACTGCCAAATCGCAGGCAGCCAGCAGGCAGCAGAAGTAGCCTGCGGTACCGCACTCTTAACCGCTGCGCCACCGTGGCTCATGCTTGGCAGCTGTTTTTTTTATTTATGGTGGTTGCAGTCTCCCCGAGTCAGGCGATCATCTTTTGTGACCGCCTGACGAGCGAAATCAATGGAGAAGCTTAGCCCTTGTAGAGATTCACTTAGCAACCGTGGCAAGAAAAGTTGTAAAATGGGAGCAAAACTCACTTAGCAAGCGTCTTGCTTAACAGCAGAAAAGTTGGGCTCAATGGTGGTCGTAAAACGAGGATTAACTGTACTTAAGAAATTCTGGCTTGGAGGGTTTAGGAAGAGGGAGGGGCGGTTGCCACTGTCCCCACCTTATGGAGCACTTTGCTCCCCCCAGAGTGGAGATCGGCCTCCATTCTCCCAGCCTTCTTGGAAGAGCGTGAAGGTCCTGGTTCTGCCAAATCAGGTGGGGATCAAAGAGCAGCATGCAGCCTTGGAGAAGGGTTTCTCCCTCCACCTTTTAATTTAATTTTAATCTCGTTATTGTCATTTGGCTTTAATTCTCTTTTGCCTGTATCTCTTGTATGGTTTTATGACTTCTTAATCTGTAAACACCCCAGTCGTTTAGATGATGAGATGGGTTGTGTCTGAATTTGATGAATACAGCATTTAAATAATGGACAGACAACGTTCTACCTGCCAACGACTACTTCAGCTTCAAACACAATAACACACGGGCAAACAATAGATACAAACTCAAAGTAAACCGCTCCAAACTCGATTGCAGGAAATACGACTTCAGCAACAGAGTGGTCAATGTCTGGAATACTCTACCTGACTCTGTGGTTTCTTTCCCAAACCCCAAAAACTTTAACCTTAGACTGTCTACTGTGGACCTCACTCAGTTCCTAAGAGGTCTGTAAGGGGGCGTGCATAAGTGCACCAGCGTGCCTACCGTCCCTGTCCTACTGTTCCCATTGATTCGTACTCATTTATTATGTATATACTTATATACCTGTTTATACTTAATGTTTATATGTTATGTTCATACTTATACTCGTTTTCTCATACATGCTTGACAAACTAAACTAAACTAAATAAAAAATAAATAGAAATAAAGGAAACCTTCCTAAGTTCTCAGACTGTAAAAGAGGCAAGTAGGAAATCTGTTCTTTCAAACTGGCAAGTTTCTGTTAACGTTGCCTTCCTAATAAAACAGAATTTATTTGTTTCTCTGTGTCGTATATGTGGGTATATGCACAATTTGGCATTTATCTATTTATTTTGTCATGCTTACGTAGCGTACATTGGCGGTGGCGACCCTTTGTGAGCTGTATGCAACGAAATTTCATTCAAAACAATGAAGTTATTCTAAGTTCTAATTAGTTCATTGGTCATGCTTCTTGCCTGTTCTATTGGGAAAGCTGATGCCTCCTGTACAATTTAACAGAATAACAGAGTTAGAAGGGACCTTGGAGGTCTTCTAGTCTAACCCGCTGCTCAGTCAGGAAAACTTGCACCATTTCAGACAAATCTCCTCTTAAAAACCTCCACTGTTGACGCACAAGCAACCTCTGGAGGCAAGTTGTTCCACTGGTTAATGGTTCTGTTAGGAAACTTCTCTTAAGTTCACTCCTTGATTAAAGGCAGCACATATTAAAGGTACGGAGAAGCCTGGTGTCCTTACCATGATCTCTGCATGTTGTTGTTCCAGCTCTTTTCTTCAGGGCTCTGCTGGCCCCTTCGGTGCAAGGGAGGCAGATGGGTCTGGAAAGAAAAAAAAATATGGATTGGTTTAATTTAATGACCATTAGGAGAAATCCAGAAAGGTAGGTGGGTAAGTGACAAGAGGAATAATTCATCATGAAGTATCAGTACCCGCTTTATAAAGCCTTAGTAAGACCACACCTGGAGTACTGCATCAAGTTTTGATCCCAACATGACAAAAAAGATATTGAGGCTTTGAAAAAAAAAAGTACAAAGAAGAGCAACTAAAACGATTAAAGGCCTGGAGACTAAAACATATGAGGAACGGTTGAAAGAACTGGGTATGGCCAATCTAGAGAAAAGAAGGACTAGGGGTGACGTGATAGCAGCATTTCAGTATTTGAGGAGCTGCCACAAAGAGAAGGAGGGGGTCAACTTATTTTCCAAAGCACCAGAAAGCAAGACAAGAAACAATGGATGGAAACTAATCAAGAAGAGAAGCAACCTAGAACTATGGGAAAATTTCCTAACAGAACTAACCAGTGGAACAGCTTACTTTCAGAAGTTGTGGGCGCTTCATCACGGGAGGTTTTTAAGAAAAGACTGGACAGCCACCTATCTGAAATTATTTAGGGTCTCCTGCTTGAGCAGGTGGTTGGACTAGAAGACCTTTAAGGTACCTCCCAGCTCTATTCTGATTGAAAGAAGGACAGGATGGCAATTCAAGTTGGGTAGAACCAGCGGGGATTTCCCAACTGTGGAAATTAGCAATTGGGTCAGCAAAATTCCAAAAGGGGATGCAATCAGAGGGGATTCTCTTAGCCACAACCAAGGGCTTACACAACCTTGACTGGCCACCCTTCTTGTTTAGGATACTCAATCCACTGCACCCGCTACCAAAGCCGGTACCTGTTTATTGGCTTAAAAAGTTAAAAGGGGCTTTCTCCGTCCTTTCTGCCACTACAGGGTAAAAGTGTAATAAAAATAAACATCTCAGTAACAATAAAGTCAACATGAGAACACAAGACTTCACTGTAGTAAACGTGAAAGTCAAGGAGGTCACAAACACTTTAAGCCTCACTCATCACCTTGTTGAGTGACTGCCTCACACAGGAACGATGCATAGTTATGACAGTGATTAAAAAAGTAACTTTGCAACCAGTCCTCTCATTTATTAACTTTTCTGGTCTGTAACACAAAGATAATCTATTTTATTATTTTATCTATTTTATACACGTATTTTATTATTTTATTTCATCTATCCATCTATCTATCAATCTGTATAAAATAGAATAGAATAGAATAGAATAGAATAGAATAGAATAGAATAGAA